ATGAACCTTCGGGTTCCATAAAATACTGGGAAATTCTTGAGTAACTGCAGATTTGGCTTCTCCTCAAGAAGGGCTCAGCTCCATAAGTAAATAAAGTCACGTTACTTTCCGTGTTATTGAAAATGTTGTAAACAAAACTTAATGATTCAAAACAGATTTATCGGCTTCAGAACACTAGACCTCCTTAATGCTGTGTGCTTGCGTTGTATCCATTTCGGAAGTTCCTAAGTTCAGAAGCTATTTTCATCGATAAATACGATGCGCAATTGATTTCCAGTGATATGATTTAATGCCTTTTTTCTTGGAAGTTTCGAAAGCTGATGAACAAGCGCCAATTTGCACAGATAATGTTCTTTTGTAAGCTAGACTAACTATTAAAATCGCTGTCTTTGGCGACAGGGATCAAACGTTCGGCGTAAATTGCTGCTTCCTTCTTCAGGGTACCAAACCCCACAGCGTAACACCCAACAAGACTGCAATCTTAACATTTACTGCCGTCAGAAATTAGACTTCCTATAAGCTGATACATCGTTCTACTTTCCTGTTGAGACTTCAATCAGAAAGTAGTAATCACATTTTTTTTTCTTTTTTTCACAGGCTCTACAACCCCCTTGGGCCCCGACCTCTGATATTTTCAGTTTCACGACCATTTTATAGACGGTAGGACTCCTTGGATGGGTGATCAGCTCGTTGCTAAGGCCTCTGTCTAAACACAGAATAAGCACATACCAAACATCCTTGTCTTGTGTGGGATTCGAACCCAGAAGCGAAGACAGTACATGCCTTAGACCGCTCGGCTACCGTGACCGGAAGTCACTGCCGTTACATATCAGTGACAGTCTGTTAACACCTGCTCACGCTGGTTCTCTCCCGGATTTATTCTTTTTCTTATACCCTGAAGATGGAGGCGATACGTTCCTCCGAAACGTCGGTTAACACAATATCTACACGACGCCACATCTCAGAAGACTGCTTTCTTCATAGTCGCCGCCGTGAAAACCTCAAATGTTACATAATGTATGTATGATTTTATTGTTGGTCTAACGCTCAATAAGTATTTATGTACCTTCTGGTATGAATTGCAGGTGTGTGGGGTCTACTGGACGGTCAAGGGCCTCTTCTGGTGTTGGAACCGCCTCCAAGGTTGGAATTCTCTAACAGCACTGGAGGAAGACTTGACTGCAGTGCTCGAGGAAGCCCTAAGCCCACCGTGCATTGGTTGCTAATAGACGGGAACCCTGCAAACAGCATATCCGGTCTGCGGTACCAGCTACCAAACGGTTCCCTCTCCTTCCCGGCCTTCAGCGCTGCGGAATTTCGGCCAGATGTGCACCGGGCGATTTATCGGTGTGTGGCCAGCAACACTTTGGGCCGTGCTCTTAGTCGAGATGTCAGACTTCGAGCAGGTATGTGGACATTTAGAAAATTAATCATCTAGTGCGCTGACAAGTAAAGTTGTATAATTAATAAAGTGATGTTAAAAATATTTTAGTACTAATACAACCGTTTTCTGGTTATTTTGGTACGTCAGCTGAGCCACAAAGTTGTTAATTGTTGAACACATACCCAATTTTGTGTCGAATTTAGAGTGTCGCAGTATGAAGTGCGCATG